AATCTTTGTCAGTATTGTCATCGATTTAGTAAAAATGTTACACCTATCTAATTCTTCTTAATTTTAAATGTTTTTTATCTGTGAGAAAACAACCTTGAAAGAGAAAAAAACAGTTTTTAATTTATTGAACAAAATTACAGTCTGAATATTTTTTTGGTTTTGAATGCACAGTCCTGCCTCGATCGATTGCATCATCACCAGTCGAATCGGTATCTCTCTTTATCATGAATTGTAGTTTAGGTTTCTCTAATGAGACACAGTTTTATCTTTATGAACTAAATTGATGATCGTCTTAGTTTCTGGAAGCGAACCTGCCTGATGATATGTTTCAATATATACTTAGTGAGCTGCAGTAACTTTATAGGGCTATAAACCATAATAGAATAAAAATTAGCTAATTATTGCAAGATTTGAAGAAACTTCCTCAGTAGTATTTCGTCTCTATATCGCACTAGCAAGCCGTAGCGAATTCCTACTCTTAAAGTGTCACTGGCTGGGCCGATACGATTATCCAAACGCCCTCGTCATAAAAACATTTGCGATTGCAGATCTATAAAAGATGTAAGAAATCTTCCAAGCGGTTCCTGTTAGACATTGTAAGCCTGCACAGATGATTATCTAGATGAAACAGCTCGTCACTGACTTCGAGAGTTATGATGCTTTTCTGAAACAATTGGGGTTGCAAACAATATCTGAGACGATACAAGGAATTCTGGTACTGTTTCACAACTCACCTCCAAAAGAATTAGGAGCTGTAGCTGCCAGAGCTGTAGAGGCTATCTGGCCAAGCACATGCATTCTGACTGCATTATCTATTGATTCAAAGAACCTTCTACTTTAACCAGCAAAGTCATCAAGTTTCGACGCAGTAAGCTCTGCGAGGAGCTGTATAATATTAGAAAGGAAATGAAGGCTAGAAGTGCGTCCCATAGTCGCGTATTTCGCCCTCGCAGTAGATCTGCAGAATCAGGAAAAAGGCGGTCAGATTCACGATACCTGCAATGTGGATTATACTGATACCATGGACGTACTAGTATCAGTGTTCAAAGGTGCACTCGTCTCTGTACCTTTGACACTAGCTTGTCTGGAAATGTGTATGCCAGTACATGATGGCAACTACTGTCGTTCGCGAACCATCTCCATGTCACCTCTTCTAAGTTACAGATCGTCATACTAGGATACGCTACTTGTTCGATACTGTGGCAGAACACTACCTGATAACGTGAGTAATTAAGTACATTGTGTGTAGTAAAGTTGGTACAGTGGAACATATAATTATCACAGTCAGCACGTCACAGATACACAAAACTTTCATTCTGAAGAAGGACTTGAAAAGAAAGTGACAAATATCGAAAGGCGTTCTCACGGAATGTATAACCCAAGATTACAAGAATGCACTAGTGCAAAACTGCTATGTTAGTTGCATTTGTAAACTAACTTGCCTTTGTAAAAGACTTAGCTAAATAATGAATTATTCATTTAATAGGATCTATCCAGATGCAAGACTATAACAATCAATCAGGCATAGGTTATCCAGATTTGCATATAATAATTTACATACATGTATGTTTTACTGAACCAGTAGCTATTATAAGATTTAAATTAAGATTTCAAGGTCACCATTTGATTCTTCATCCGATAAAATGTTTATTTAAATGTGTATACTTGCATATATCAAGAAAAGAGTAATAATAATGCAACGATTAGATACAATAAACAACGAACAAATTACTGATATATTAAACAGAAAATATGTATATATAATCAATAAGGGAAAAAAGCTGTACACTTTACAATAGTATAATTCCTAAACGCTTTTACAATAAAGCAAAAATGAGATGGTAAAGCAAAATTCAACATTGACAATATTGGCGACATTAGTAAAAGTAATGTTTATAGCAAGTTCATGTCAAGTGAAGTAAGAATAGGCGGTTGTTTGAATTGATTCAATCATCACCTTCTGAATGTACCAGTAGATCACAAAGAAAAACAGTGTAACTTTTTGTATCAGTATTCAAAAAATAAAACTAATGCTAGAAAAAAGGTTTTTACAAGGGAAATGATGTTTGCAAACACTATGCTCTTGTAGAAATAAGCCTACAGCTTTCATTTTTCAAGATTAACTGCTGACCTTTACTGTTTGAGTTGACTTTTTAAGCTGAAGCTGTGCGGTCAAGCGTCAACGCCACTTGGCATGTTATCGTGTTACGTTAGATTGTTTGTGAACGCATTCTAGCTAGCTAAGCTGAAGTCACCATTCTACATTCCTGATCCCGTAAAATATTTCGCATTTTGGATTTGATTCCGGTTACAAACAGTTATCTGGTCTAGGTCGAACAAGTACATTCGGAGTTGGAGGACATACAGTTGCATTTGAGTACATCGTATCTCGCGTGCCATAGACATGCTTCATCTCTCAGACGTTTAATAAAGACAGTCATTATGGGACATACTGAAAGTGTTTTCAAGACTATATCTTCGACAAGAAATCTCCAGTGAATAATCAGTAGTTTCAATAAAATTATTGTTTAAGTATTAAGAAAACACACCTTAACTTTTAATTATTTGGAGTAACGTCCATGAAAATGATTGCCAATTGATTTAACAGAAGTAATCGTTGATGTACATAGAATTAAGTATTGAACAAATGTTCTAAAAGGGTACGGTACTTAGATTACAAAAACTAGTCTTGGTCAATAAAATTACTATAGGAACAACGATAAATTAATGTCAGTAAAAAAACGTTAAAGTACATAAAAAGGTGTATTGTCTCATGCTACTATTTTCTTCAGTAGTATAGCACTACAAAATAAACAAATAAAAAAATATCAGAAACTGAACATAGAATATGAGTTACGAAGGTCAATTTAAAGAAAGTAGTACAATTTTCAAGTGAAGACATATGCACTATTATCATTAGCTTTCAGGTATACTATCTCCAGTCGTGGGCAATGGGTTAAAGACAATTAAAAGAATTCAGTAGGGCAGTTTATATTTCTGCCGTTGGATTAGACACTAAATGATTTCAAAAAAACCGCTAGTGAATCTTCATGTAAATAATGTCACCTATAATTCCAATCTAACTCAAGTGAAAGCAGCACTGATTATTGAAGTAACTAATGGATAGGAACAGAATTTATTTATTGACAATATTCTTAGCATAATTTACAGTTTATAATCAGAATAATATTGTACAATGTCCGCATTTTCGTGTTATTATTCATTCTGTGACTGACTGCGTTTGAACGTACAACTTTGCACAGAAGTGTACCAGTTCAATTTGTCACACACCATGTAACAAACGAAGGTAGATAGAAGAGAGAGAGAAAAACGAGATCCAAAGGAACTGTAGTAAGAAGAAATATAAGGGAGAGAGAGTAGTAATTTTTTTAAAAACATGATGGTTTAGTGTATATAGAAGATCACAAAGAGTAAATGTATCTGGGCCACTAAGAACAATTTGAGCCATATTATGGTGGTGTGATACAAACAAGGGTTTCAACGGAATATTATTCTCACAGTAAGAAACATTGTGTTTGTTTGTGTTGTCGTCTGAATACTATTCCCATAGTTCAGTAGTGCATTAGCAACAGAGTAATATATGCATTTGAATATTCTATTTCATTTCGTTAAATGTACAGCAAAATCACACGCCCGGTGGTTGGTTAAAGAATATAAACTGTATAAATATAAACAGCTGCTTGATCACTTGAAAGTATACCTTGGATTTCATATCTTACCTTCTGTTCCCAGGTATTGGTTCCTGGCATCCTTACGTCCCAATCAGGCAGTCTACTTCTCTCTATTTGCCTTAAACTAACTATCACAGATTTTATGAAGTGATGGAAGGTTTCAGTTTGACCATCCCTAATTATTCTACACTCCTGTAAGTATGTAAATTGCGCACAAATACTATTTGAAGGATTAAAATTAATCCAGTTTACTTTCAATTTCGTTGAAGCTAACCTTATTAGAAGTGAGGACGGGAGTAAGACAAGGCTGCCTACTATCGCCGATGATTTTACTGATTGCAGTAGATTGGATAAAGCAACAGAAAGCGGGCAATGAGGAAACAAGCATAAAGTAGACTCACACAAAAAAACTTGGAGGATCTGGACTTCGTCGATGATATATGTCTGATTTCCCAAAAACTGGAAGATATGCAAGTGAAAAGCAACAAGCTGGCAGAAGAAGCATCCAGCGAAGATAGGACTTCAGTTGAACATAGAGAAAACAGAGGTGATGGAGATTCTCGGGCCAACAGCAACACCAACAACAACAGACAACAATCAGCCTGCATAAATGGGAGGAACCTGAAAGAAACAATCTTCTCTACCTACCCTACCTGGGAAGCATCGTTTCAACTACAGGCGGACGGAACTGACGAGGATATCAAAGCAAGAATCGGAAAATCAAGACAAGCTTTCATTACTCTTAAGTATATGTGGAGGTCAACAGCACTCAACATGAAAATGAGAATAACATCCGGATTTTCAACTCCAATGTGAAGTCAGTCAGTGCTACTCACTATACGGATCAGAGACTTGGCCAGCGCGTCATAAAGAGCATCTCAAACAAACTTCAGATCTTCATTAACATCTGTCTTTGCTCAATACTTTGCTCAAGATCAGATGGCCGGCCAGAAAAGATCAGCCATAAGGATCTCTGGGAGCGAACCAACCAGGAACCGATTGTGAAAAAAATAGGCAGTAAGAAATGGAGATGGATTGGCCATACTCTGAGGAAACCATCAAGTGACATCATACGCCAGGCCATCCCTCGAGTGGAACCCAAAAGGGAAGCGGCGAGTTGGTCGTCAGTGCAAGGGTGACTTGGAGGAGGTCATGTGAAGAGGAGATGAAAACATGTGAGCAGACTTGGAGCGGGGTGAAAAAGTTGGCAGAAAACCGAACGCAATGGAGACGTGCGGCTGAAGCCCTATGTTCCCCTAGGAATTAAAGGAAATAATAATAACTTTATGCGTACCTTTTTATCTTCATTTATTTTTGATGATTTCTCTCTGTTTGTGCTTTAAATGCATTACATTGTTCTTCAAGTTGATTAGCCAACTCCTGTGCTTCTTTTCGCCACTGCAATGATAACTAAATAAAATGACAGACAAAAATATGTGTCAAAAAAGTTTAACGACATATATAGTTGTAAATCACAGATTAATATACGAGTGGTTAGAAAATATTCACATCAAACAGTAATGATTGATAGTCATTTCGAAGTGATCTAAACACTGGAGAGTCATTTTGCTGGTTTGTAACACAACTCATATGTGATGTACCTGGTTACACTCAGCTCGCATATCTGAACCAGTTCAAACCACCAGTGTTTATAGCATCATCCCCCACTTCGATGAATTGAATCCGCATTATCAAAATACATAATTCAAGAGGGAAAATCCTTTACGGTTCCCGCTAAAAAACGTCGCTATATAAATAAATATATGCGATAGATTGAAACAAGCTAAAGAAATATAATAAAATACAGATCGTATAGTGTTCTGATCAATAATCTGTAATCTTGAAATAGGTCTGCAACACACCTAAAAGCACACTAAATTAATCAGTTACTTTTATTTCAAGATTTTATCGCAGAAGTAAGAATATATCCTTGTAATAAATAAGGAATCAACAAATATAACAAACTTACTTTTTGCTGTTTATCTAGTAAATTGCGCCATTTTTCATCACTGATTTGATTAACTTTTTCAAGTGTTTCAATTTTCAAGTTTAATTCAGTTTCTTTTACTTTCATCGATTGTTTAGCTAACTCAATTTGATATTGAGCACTTTTTTGTACAGATTCAAGTTGTCGTTTCAAGGCATTAAGTTGAATTTCTGAATCCAATAAAGCTTTATTTTGTTTAAAGTAATGGTCTTCATTTTGTTTAAATTGTGTTTCAGCATGTTCTAAACGTTCCTCAAGTGATTTAATCTTTAAAATCAAAGTGTTTAAACATAAAATTTTTGTATAAAAAGGTTTAAACGTTTAAAACAAGGTCTTTTGGAGATAATGAGGGTTTTATTAAAACGGAAAATGTTAGCAGATGGAGAGATGTTTGTTATAATCTACCCCGTCGAAAGTACTCACGACCACAGACAATTTCCAGAAACTTCATACATTTATTTCTCTTTATGAATTTCAATAAAACAAGAACAACAGTTTGTTCAGGATAAAATAGTACCATCATTTATTCCGCTGGCTTCTCTTCAGCTGCTTACAGCCCAAAGATATTATTGATTTTATCTACAGAAGCAACTTTAACATACTTACACTGAGAGTTCATTTTTCAACAAAAAATCAATATATGCATACATTGGTAATAGTAACAATAATAATCACTTTTTGATACACGTTCCCGTCTATTGGACAATATGCTCTTTGATGCACTCAAAAGTCAACAGATACCCTTCTCATGTTAACTCCAACTGTGTATACAAATTAACATGGATCTGCGGCGGCAGTTACGTTGGGAGAACAGAAAGAAGTGCATACCATCAATTCTCTGAACAAGTACCAAAAAGCCTGTGTCTCAAGTAAACAAATGCTTTTAGCGGTGCCATAGCCAGCCACCTTCTTGAAACTGCTCATGAGCTGGATGTCACAAGATCGTTCAAAATTGTCAATTGACAAAACAGATTAACTGTCCTCAAGTTTTCCGAAACAGTCTCCATCAAGCGCTTGATAATCGATTGGTGCATTCAGAAAGAAGTAGTTATCATTTTTTCATACATTTATTCCCCTTAATGAATTTGAACAAAGCAAAAACTACAGTTTTAGCAGAATAATATGGTACCATCATTTATTTCGTTGGCTTCTCATCAGCTGCTTACAGCCTAAATAAATTATGAGGTTTAAGTACAGACATGTTTTAACATACTTGCAAATTTTACATGTTGTCAGTTGACAGAAAATTCCACAATTTGTAAACAGTGCTCAGAAGTTTGCGCTTATATAGTTTTCACACAGGCAGTTCAAGTTAAAACTAAGTAAATGTATGCAGAAAATGGTAAGAGAGTTACGTAATAAAGATGAGATATGCGTTAAATGCATAGTGACTAGTAAGTTAGGTAACCATGTACTGAGTTGAGTTCAAATCATAGAAACAAGAGACAAACAAAATTACAGATTATAAAAGAGAGGGTGAGGTTAAAGACAAAGATTACGTAATCAGATGAGAGAAAAAAGGCATCCAGTTACCAAGGCAAGAAAAGACTAATAACTGCTTCTTTCTGAACACATAGATCAGGTTTCAAGCGTTTGATAGAAATCGCTTCAGCAAACTTAAGGAGAATTGAGCTCTTTTGCCTATTGATAATTTTGAACGACTTTTCGACGTCCACCTCATGACCCGTGTCGAGGAGATGCCTGGCGATGGCACTGTTTAGAGCATTTGTTCCCTTTAGACGTAAGCTTTTTGGTACGTGTTCAGAAAATCGTAGATATGCCCTTCTTTCTGTTCTTCCAATGTAACTGCTCCCGCAGATACACGTAAATTTGTATATACAGTTGGAGGTAACATGAGAAGGATATCTATCGATTTTTGATTGCACCAAAGAGCAGGTTGTTCGATAGACGGGAACGAGCTCGGCTGCAGGATAGGCTATGGCTAGTGATGTACTCAGCCTTCTGTTGATCATCGCTGCAATGTTTTCACCTTTATAGTCAAGGTGAACGTAGAGTGGCTTTTTACCCACTGTGACTTGTTTTACATTTGTGACTTCAGATCTTCCATACTTGTTGATGAACTTTTGAGGATACCCATTTCTCTTCAATATCTTTTCAAGGAACTCAAACTCCTCCTCTAGTTTCTCTATAGAGCATATTCTCCTCGCTCTATAGTACAGAGTCTTGACTAGACCCCGTTTAAAGCTATTTGGACAAAAGCTGTTAAAATGCAAGTATTGTCCTTTCCATGTGGGCTTTCGATAAATTGACTTTTGAAGACTACCGTCTTCTAGGCGTTCCATGGCGATGTCGAGGAAGTGAAACTTTCCGTCACTTTCATGTTCCATAGTGAAATCAATATTGGCGTGTGCACCATTGAATAATCTTAGTAAGTGTGAGCATGGCTTTCATTTTCGCACACTGTAAATGTGTCATCAACATAACGACAGTAGGAAGATGTTTCGTCGATTGCGTGTTTCAACTTTGTTCTTTCGAGGTTTGACATGAATATATCTGCTAGAACAGGGCTGAGTGGACTGCCTATAGCTTTCCTTGCCCTGGTAACTGGATGTTTCCACGCTCTCTTTCATTTGATTAGGTAACGCCAAAAAAATTCCATTGTGTAAGATTAGTATTGTCTGGAATAAAGTTATTCATATTGTTACTATTACCAGTGTATACATAAACCTAATAATGTCTTTGGCTGTAAGCAGCTGAAGAGAAGCCAACAGGATAAATGATGGTACTATTTTATTCTGCACAAATTGTTGTTCTTACTTCATTCAAATTTCCAGAAAATTAATCTCGTATATAATTTGACCATACACTCTGACTAACAGAATATTTAAAAACGGGAAGGTTTCATGTGGGTACATTTTTCCTTTGTATAGGGATTTTCCCTATTTTAGCTATTCATGACTTGTTAAACTCTTGTTAGTTATATGTCAAACATCTGATTTTAATTTCTGCTACTGATGCTTTCAACCTAGGGTGATAAAGTAAACTAATTCAAATCTCACTATTCACCAAACGTCAGTTTGTGTAGAAGTTTGGCTATCTGGTTACGAGTCAAAACTTATTTTGCTTGAAAAATTGAGTAGTTAAAGCAGAAACGATATCGCATATTCAGTCTGTATGTATTAAATTCAGCCATTACTCATTTTGGCCCAAAGACTGAAGTTATTCTTCAGCATTACAAAAAATAATTGGCAGTCACTGTGTAAAAATAGATAAGGTTTAGACAAATAAATATGCATGGATTTTTTTTAAAAGCTTAAAATAGCCACCCACCTATAATATATCACTGTACAGCTTTGCATAGAAGTTTGTCACTTCATATTATCACTGTTTGAGGAAGCGTACAAGATAATGGACATAAACTGTGTGATTCAGGTGTGAGAGAGAGGATGAGTGAAGACATTCAGAACCTGCAAAATGATGACCACTGAATCAATGTGTGTCATTGTGAACAACTTTGAGCCATCTCAAAAAGTTTCCAGTAGTAAATCTTAACACCTGAGGGCTCTAGTTAGGCATGAATACTTCTCTGTTTTTATTGCTACTGAATTAAAAAGGAAGTTAGTGGTAAGGATGTTATTCCTAAGGCCAATGGAAGATTTCCAGTTAAACCATTTAGCTCAAAAGATACAACAACACTAAAACATTCACTTGAATTACAAATCTCCATCACTTCAGACCAGTAACCGACATCTACATGGCATGGTAACATGTTTTGGTCTGACCATCTCTAACTAATTCCTTACCCTCTTATACTACAAGTGACACTGTTCATTGAGGAAGGCGATGACTCACTATGTGCATTCTATGTCTATGAAACTTCACAATCTTATCAAATGACCTAAAGTCCCCGCCTAACATTACGTCTAGACTCCACTGTAGTGTTTAAATATCTGTTATACATTCACATATGATTTCAGATGACGTGTTTAGCGGCTGTAAATTAAGACTCGGTGAGCTAATGAGCAGTACAAATTCGCTGATAATCGGCATTATGTCGCTGTTTTCAAACTCTCAGCGTTGGTGGTATAGCGGTTAGCACGCTCGCCGACCATGCATATGTTCCGGGGTTCGATCCCCGGCCGGCGCACTCCTTTACCTCACTGCGCCAGAAATAATGCTGGTGAAGAGGAAAGGTTATGCATGAGGCTAGCAACCCCATCCTGTAAAAATTAAACACTGCTACAGAAACTTCAAGCCACTAACTTGGAGCCCTATGTTCCACTGGGAACGTGAAGGAAAAATTATTATTATTTTAAACTCTCAAAAAGACACGCCTTACTGATGGGTGCCAACTAGCGCTAAACCTTGGTCCAAGGCTTCCTGCCGATTACCTCTAACCATCTAATGTCATCAAATCAATGTGCACCATGATGGCGAGCTACCTAGAATGGTGGCCACATTACAACCTGACTGATAGAATTCAGTCTGCACCAAAGAGAGGACTAAACACATTACACTAGTTACTAGTGTCAAATCAAAATATCTCCAATTCATTTGATGGACGGTGATTAGCAGTGGAATCCAGGATGCACATTTTGTCCTATTTGGGACTCGACATCTGGATGTACCTACATTCCCCATTGAGTGATGGTGTTCCCACAGAAACTCAGACCCAGTACCCATCGTTTCAAACGCCAAAGCGACGGCCACTAAACCACTTGGACCACGAGAGTCACCTCTTGTGCATCAGGTATCGGTTATTATTTAATTCAGTTTGGACTTTCTCGTCGAATGAGTGGACAGAAGTGTTCGGCCTCAGCGGAAACAGCATTGCAGATATATCCACCTGAGGAATCTAAAACAGGACGAAATTTCCATCCTGGATTCCGGTACTAGTCACCACCCACCAGGTTATTTCAAGTCAATCCTCAGACATCATAGAAGCGTTTGCACAAGGAATCGAAATGTCTACAGAGGCTGAACATTTCACTCCAATCAATCAACGAGTAAGTCCACAATGAATTAAATAATTTACATTCTTTTTAAATATAAGTCACTAAGTGAAAAATATACTTGATATTATCAGATGGGAACAACTGGAAAAATTTAAAATGTGCATATTCTGGTAATTTTTTTTCACTTATAACTGTCTGCTGTACTTATATTCAACTGTGAGTACAAAATAAATAAGTAGTGCATACGTTCATGCTGCTACATTTCAAGGCATAAAAGAATGGCAAACATCAGCATCATCTAGAGAATCTGATATTGTATTAAATCTAATTCATGACTTGCAAGTTTTACAATTAGACGTAAAATTTTATCACATTTCCCTTTGAGAACAAAAGATAATTCCGACCAAAATATGTGATCTGTTTGAAGTCATTCAACTGAAACCAAGGAGGCAGCTTTATGCTACAAACTACATCACCCTATATTACTTTCTAACCAGATCAAGGTGATCTAAGACCTGGATGGTTATTTCACTCTTTTGAGGATGAACTCATCAGCAATGTATGCGATTTGACTCAGTTCAAACATCCAAATTAGTTCAGGTCACCCGATACTTTTGTTGTTCTTTGAAATATAATTTTTACTCAGACTTATTCACATTAGGAAAGTTTTTCTAAAAAAAAAACTTTAATTTTTATACTCCTCATGAATTTTATACAAATAACTGCTATTCCATTGGATGATATCATGAATTGTTGACTAATAAATTTCCTACTGTTATTCACATTAGAAGAAATTAGATTACTGCTACTGGAACTCTGTTGAAGTACTGAAACTACCCTCCCCCCCACCACCCCCCCAAATAAATGTACATACTCTTTCTTATCACAGTACATTTAAAATGGTGGCCTTATTATAGCTGAAATCCTTATTTATAAAACATTTGGTTAGCCGAGAAATCACAACTTGATCTACGGATATTTACCATCACGATTTAAGACGAAAAACTACGGGAATATGAATAATCAGGAGGAAAAACAAACGCAGGATGACAATATATTGGAGATTTCAGGACATCTCGAGTCGCAGTACTTTGATATCCACTCAATACAATCAACTATCATAAGTTAAGAAATTAACATTCTGCAATGACATGGAAATATCTGTTCGGTATATATACTTAAATGCTGTCAGCAAAAGGAATGAAGTTCGGATTTTCAACGCCAGTGTGAAGTCAGTCAACGCTTCTATGTAGGTCAGAAACTTGGAGAGTCAGGAAAAGCATCTGCAGACTTTTATCAATAGCTGCCACCTTCTCTGGTGCCATAGTGAATATCAAATGGCCAGCCAGAAGGAACTGTCAACAAGAAACTCTGGGAAGGAACCAATCAAGAATCTATTGATCAACAGATATTCGAAGGAAATGGAGATGAATTAGACACACACAGAAGAGGTCGTCTAGTTACATCGGGTGCCTTGGCCTGGCGTGGAACCCGGAAGTGAAGTGACGAGTTGGGCTAGGGTCCGAAGGTGACATAGAGAAGACTGTGCGAGGAAGAGATGACAGATTACGGGCAGTCATGGGACCAGCTAAAGACAACATCAGAAAATAGGACAAAGTGAAGATGTGTTGCTGGAACCTTATATTTTTCACTCGGAACCCAAAGGAACATTAATAATAGTACACGGCTAAACATAATTGCTTATGAACAAATATGATATTAAATGAAAGTTACCTTTTGATTCAGTTGCTCAATTTCAGCTTGTTTAGATGCAATCAGTCGTTCTTTACAGTTACGTTCTGTTTCCAGTTGTAGTTTTAATTCATCACATAGTTTCTCGGCTTGAATAGCACGTCTCCTAGCAGAATCTAATTGAGAGTCGCCCAGTTTTGATTCTTTATAATTATGATTATTAGTATTAATTCATACAGTACACAGACCTACCTCGATTACTTATTCCATCTGCAGGATTACTAATACTATTTGATTTTAAACACTCCAACTCAACCGCTAACTGACAACGTTCCTAAGCATAAAAAGATGAAAAGAGTGACAATTTATCTAAAAGAGTATAAAACAAGCATTACATTTCTCAGAGTATACATACAGTTCGATAAGTGATTCCAAACTTGTAAATACAAGAATGCGGGCTTTTGAGAATGGAATTTCAGCAGTCTGAAAAATACTTTGATTTAAGATTGTCCTTCTGTGTTGGGTACTAATCACACGTCACCAGTCCCTTAAACCTTTCTGAGATTGTAGGATTTCATCATGAGTTGTCATCGGTTAGATAACCATTGGAAAACCAGCTGGGAGTACTGGACGGCTGTTTCGTCCTGGTATGGGAGTCTTCATCAGAACGCACCCACCGGGTTTCGAACCCAGGGTCTTCAGCTTACAAGTTGAGCTCGTAGACCATCATGCCACTGAGACCCGATACAATGGGCCATGAATTCCCACTTCTGCCAATTCACGATACAGCGCGACCACTAGCCAATGTCATCAGCGAGTATTTATCCTCATATCCGACCAGCTGTACTTTCTAAGATTGTTAAGTTTATGCATCTAAGTCTGTGAAATGGTGAAGAAAGCCTACTAAGTAATTACAAAGGTCGGAGAGTTCATGTACTATCAGTGGATTGTGAATAACCTATAAAATAGTTAATAATAGTGCTATGCTTCTTAGATGTAAACGCGCAAAGTAATTTTAAACCTCTAACTTGTATATTCTCAGTCGTTTCACTTTACAAGAACTACAACCTATTGAACTAGGCATGCTGTCATTGGACACAAAGAAACAAACTTCACTGTCTATAGGGTCCCCTCGTAATAACATAACTTGAATGTTTGGTTAGCGGTAAAAGCTACATCATTCGCTAGCGTTATCATTTAAAAAAACTAAGGATAAGAATAAATTATTTACAGGATTTTCATCATGAGCTGACATTAGTTAGAGAACCAGTGGAAAACCTTGGAGTACTGGACAACTGTTTCGTCCTAGTTTGGGACTCTTCATCAGCATTAACCCATCGGGATTCCAACTCAGTACCTTCTGGTTACAAGGCTAGCGAGCTCATTGACCCTTAAGCCACTGGGACCCTATCCAATGGCCAGTGCATGAACTCTAACTTCTGACAATTCACGACATAGCGCGACCCCAGCCAATGTCTTCGGCGAGTATTTGTCCTCACACCCGACCTGCTGCACCCTACTGGTCACAACTTCTCACTAGAACCCCAAGTAACTACCTAGACATTGGCTGGGGTCGAGCTATGTCGTGAATTGGCAGAAGTTAGAATTTGTGGGCCATTAGATTTGGTCCCAGTGGCTTAATGGTGCACGAGCTCGCTAGCCTTGTAACCAGAAGGTCCTGGGTTCGAACTGTGGTGGTGGGTGCGTACTGCGGAAGAGCCCCAAACCAGGACGAAACAGCTGTCCAGTACTCCCAGGTTTTCCAATGGTTCTCTAACTAATGTCAGCTCATGATGAAAATCCTGTAACCAATCAAATCCGTACAAACCAACACTTGAATAAATTATTTTACATAAAGTTATGTAAAATTCTTAAATCCTTAACTATACAGCAGATTTATAAGGGTTATAAACTCTTATTATGCATATTATATGTATTCACTGACCTATTACACATAATCTTTATGAATATACTGACTAACTTATCACCGTAGAACTTTGCACAAAGTACAGTAGTTCAAATTGTAACACTTCAGAAAAGCGTGCTTAAAGGTTAAGGAAAGAAATGTTATGGTGTTACAGTGGACGGAAATGTACATGATAAAGAATGATTCCATGAAGATTAGCAAAGAGATTTATAACCTTTTATGATAAGTAAACAAATCTACACTAAGGAAAGCAATACTGAGCCATTTTATCAAAAGAGTTCCCAGCCACTGATGATTCTTGGTATCCCAGCAACTCTAGCCGGTCAGTAAATACCTCCCAAATTGGCTGAAACCAGCGGTCGAAGAGTTTATGAATTGGTTAATGTCTTCTTCTGACTACTGATAACTCTTTTGCAGCCTAAGACTAATTCGGTTGATATTGCTTATCGTGGAAGATGGTGGCTCACCCAGTACGCGTTAAAAATATCTTGTCCACCTTCAGTTATCATCTGCATATTCTAAATGACTGTAACTGAAATAAAAGCCTAATTTCCAATATGACAACAGTTAAAGACTTCATAAATACTTAATTGAAAGAGTTCAACCTTATTTCCATCCCTTCAATTACCTTTTATCTATGCTTCATCGTTGACAATATTTAATTATTTGTATGCTTAGGATTACAAACTCTATTCATAAAAATTAGTATTAAATCATTTTTTAAAAAGGTAACTTTTTAAATTTACCTTTTCCATATGATGCAATTCATGCAATAATTTTTCAATATTCTCATTGGCCTTCACTCGTACTTTATCAACCTCTTCACGTGTACGCTGACCAGAATCTTCAATTAATTTGTCAATCACAAGTCTTAACTGTTCAAGTTCACTTTCAGCGACTTCTTTACATTCTACAGCTTCATTACGCTCCTTGGTTAATTTTTCACCGTAAGATATTAATTCAGCCACCTATAGTGAAGAAAATAAAAATATATAAAGTTAATGATCTTGAAATATATATCTTTCAAAACTGTAATATCTGTTCTATATATTCATTCTACAGAACCCATAATCTACACACTAATCTCCAGTTTATTGGTGACTGCTGGATGGATGTCCTGAAGTTGTAATAGGAAGTCTTGGCTAGTAGGGTTTATTATACTAAGGTGAAGTGAATGCCCATCGAAATGACGAAGTTAGAATTCACTGGTCACAGTATTCTGGCCCAACCGGTTGAATGACCAACGGATCTAGGCTTTTAACCCGAAGGTTCTGAGTTGAATTTGCAGTGAGATTATGGGCGCACACTTCTGAAGAGTCCCAAACTAGGGCGAAATGTATGTCCATTCCCCTTGATTTTCAGTGATTCTTTAGCTGGCTTAGTTTCTTGATGAAATGTACATTGAAATTAATTCAAATCTCTATAAAAACCCATAGTCTTAATATTATATAAATGACATTAGATTGTATTCCGGTTATCTCAAATATATGTGAGCTTGGGAATTTTTGTAGTAAATGATGTATTCTGCTACTGTCTACTATCGTTGGTTGCACAATGTTGAGATTATTAGGACATCCATATTTCAGAAAATATGGATATTTACATTAAAATATATCTATGAAATATTGTAGGCATACGAATACATGGATGCTTTCTTTTTCTCTAAGATAATATTATTTGACGATATTAGATGGTTGGAGGCAATCGGACACAAGAAGCCTTGGAACTAGGTTTCGCGCTAGTTGGCACTCGTCAGCAAGGTGTATCTGCAACATTGAAGGAACTCGTATCCATTCTGAGAAACCTAGGTCCAAGGCTTCCTGCTGACTGCCTCTAACCATCTAATATCATCATATCAATGTTCACCGTGATGGCGAGCCTCATTGTAAACCTGACTGATAGAATTCAGTCTGCACCGAAGAGAAAGGACTAGACACATCGCACTAGTTACTAGTTTCCAATCAAAGTATAATATTAATTATCAGTATACATTACCAAGAAAGAAATAATCAACAAGTATAACAGCAGAACACAATTATATTTGGTAAAAGAATGGTTTATTTGTCGAAATAATTACAACGAAATAAAAAAACCTCGTGATGAAATTTCAATTTGAAATTTTTTTATATTCTACTCCTTTTGTCTTCATTTCACGCTTTTAAAATTGTTTTAAAATGATCTTTTATTTCTATTCTTTGCAGCCTAATCACCTCCTTAGCTATTTAAAATTTTTGGAGAAAACAGCGCATACGTGGTATAGTACTGATAGATTCTTGTCAGTAGCACATCCTATAAAAATTCTAGTTGACTTCATTTTAATGAAAGCAACTTTTTAAAAAGTTATGATTTAAGTTTCGTACAAATACAAATTGTGAACAAGGATATTATTGTTTTAAATACCGAACTATAAATTACCTGTTTTTTGAGAGTATAGTTAGCAAGGAGATTATTAAAAGAGTTTATTGATCATAACCGTGAATAACTCAGATATTCAAAAGTACCAGCATAAGAATTCGTACACAAATGTATCACTTTAGACTCCCAAATTTCCAAATGCAATGGAAGGAGTGGCTTTATTGCATATCCCCGCTAATTGTACCGTTGTAGTTCATTGATATGATCGCATAATGACAAGTTATATTACTCATATGCTTTTCAAATGAAATTTTACAGTAAAAATGTTTTTTCTGACGTAAATATTATCGATAGCATTATACTCTTGATCTGCGCTACATTTACTACACTCTCGCAATTAGTCGTGTTTTCTGAGATGGTTGGTTTTGTTGTGGAGCTTTCGTCATCCCTCTGACAACATCCTCAGCGCAATTTTCAGCAGAAAGCTCCGCAACTAAACTAACCAGCTCAGAGAACACTACTAATTGCAAATTGTCCACCTGAGCTACAGATCTTTTCTTTTACTACACTCTTATCAAAAAATGTCGCTCGGTACTGATATCTCCACAATGTAATGGATTGGAAGAAGCAGTAAGTTTAAAAGTTAAATGTATGTTTTTGGATATTCTTGAATAAGCCATACAATCTCCAAAAATGTATGCAAACAGGAAATAAGTGGTATTAATAAACAGTATAAAGACAAGTGGGGGCATTACTAGAAAGTTTCGGAATTTCGAATTTTATAAATAATGAGTGTATCTGAGTCTCATTGAGTCAATGTTACCTTATTTTGTCAATCTCTCACGATTTGCTTCTGGATAGAAGTAAAACCAAAGATTTCAACAAATCAGTGTGTTAAACTGATCGCTTTTAGTTGTCCTCTAATCCGATTTAACATTCCTTTCGATTCATTTTGGAAGTAAATTTTGGGAATTCTTAATAACCCTAAACATAATCAACAATTCTACTGTTTAGACATAGAATTTAGTAAACTGTCGTTTCCTATTCATATAAGAGCCTGTTCGTTAAAGTTTACTTAAAGATTACATTTTAAGGAAATGAAAAAGTAAAATTAGGTACTTTTGTCAGCACGACATTATGCTTCATATTTTATTATTTTTGATTTTTCCACTTACCTTATGTAATGCATCTTCAATTAACTGGTGGGATCCATTGTACTGTTGCTGAAGTATGACATGTTTATGTTCCAATTCGGCAAGTGATTTGACAGCATTTTCGCCACGGTTACAAATTTCAGCTACTCGGTCTGTGAGGGAAATGGAATTTTATCATTTACGAAACTGTCTTCATTAAAAAAAAACAATAAGTAGTGGGTTAATTGTTAGGTGAGAAAACAAGTTATTGGTTGGTTTTCAGTTCCCCGACAAAGGAAGGTCCCATTTATCCAAGACATCAACACGCGTAGACTATCCACATATTCAGTAACGAGTTTTATTCACCATATATCTATGGTACAGAGTGTATAGCTTAATCTTTACTTTGATTATTTTGTTTTCAAGTAAAAGTTGGACCTCACACAAGAACGAAAAGCTTACATATTTTTAAGTATAGGTTAACATGGATTTGATTCTTTTCACGTTATACCATGAGTTGACTTCGGTGAAAGAAGTATTTAAAGCCAGGGAGTTCTAGACAACTGTTTCGTCTTAATTTGAGATTCTCTAGCAGTACACATCTTTCATTCCATTGAGGATATAACTCAGTACCTTGAGGTTGCGAGGAAAGCTCATTGAATTCTCAGACACTGAGAGAGAATCCATTGGCCTATGGATTATAACTTCGGTCAATTTGCCGTGTATTGCGAAATCACCAGCCAATGTCATCAGCGAGTATTCGTCCTCCCACCCAACTGGTCAAGACTTCTTACTAGAACTCCATGCAACTTCATCATGGCATAACGGGTGCATACTTTAGAGGAGTCCCAAACTAGTACGAAACACGAATCTACCACTCCATAATTTCCAGTAGTTCTCTTAGTAAAGTCAATTCAGAATCTAACTTGAAACCTACATTTTACTCAGTTCCTTAGCTAAGTTAACTTATTGGCAAAAAACCTTTTGATAACCGATGACCTCTAGGAAATCAACTAAGTGAATACTCTGTCTAAATAGGCTGGCTTAGAAACTGTGAAGAGTAGCATCATTAGTTTACGACCTAATGTGTGAAAGTACAACACGGTTATTGCATAAGATGTGTCTCTCCTTTAGAATATTTCACTTGAATTATTTTCTAATAAAAAAATCATATACATGTCCAAAAAATAAATGAAACAGTGACAGAATGATCGAATCTCTTTGTCAGAAGTCAAAATTTATAGAAATATTTATTACCTTTAAAAAATTAATTGAGAAACAACTTACCGATACTTTAAAGAGAATGAAGAACAATCATCTCATTCGTGAAGAATTATACGAAAAGATCAGACCAACAGGATCTCTAATACCAAGACTGTATGGTCTACCGAAAATACACAAAGCTGGAGTTCCACTTCGCCCTATCTTGGATATGTCTGGATCGCCCTATCATCCAGTAGCTGGGTGGTTAGCTGAAATCCTCGAACCAGTCAGGGGGCAACTATCTAATCATTCCCTTCGGGACACCTTCCAATTTGTTGAATGTATACAGGATATAAATGCGTCGAATAAACAAATGTTGTCTTTGGATGTAGAATCCTTATTTACGAACGTTCCACTGACAGAGACCATATGTTTTATATGCAAATATATTGAAGACAACAAATTGAACATAGGGATACCTACTACAGATCTTAAAGAACTACTTTTGAGATGTACATTGAATGTACAGTTTACTTTCAATGAAACAATCTACAGGCAGAAGGATGGTATTGCGATGGGTTCTCCCTTGGGTCCTCTCCTTGCAGACGTTTTTATGTCCAGTCTAGAAAATGGTTCCCTGAAGCCTATGATCCAAAGCTTTCAAATATATAAAAGGTATGTAGATGACACCTTTATTATTTGTAATATTGATTGTAACCTGAATAATATATTAAGTGTATTTAATGAGTGCCATCCTGCGATAAAATTCACACTCGAAATGGAGAACGAGTCTAGCATTCATTTCCTCGATGTGAACTTATCAAGAAGGACCGATGGAACTCTGAAGAGATCGATTTATCGTAGGCTGTTATGGAATGGTCAACTGACAAATTTCTATAGCTGGGTACCTATTGGTCGAAAACGAAACCTGGTCCGGTCGCTTGCCACTCGTATTCGGCGCATATGTAGCACTGATACTGTGGAAGATGAGTTATACACTTTGAGGAAAATCCTAATGGAAAATGGATTTCCACCACGTTTTATAGATAAGAATATACATTCAAAGCCTACAAAACGTGACTTATCAACCGCTCCCAAGAAAATACTTTACATGAGCTTAGAATTCAAAGGGGACTTAGCTTCCGATATCATGAAACGAAGGATATCACAGTCCCTGAAAAGAACATTCCCTGCTGCCTCTCTGAGAATAGCTTTTATTAACCGACCATTATTGTTCAATAACCTGAAGGACAAGATCCCAATGTTGACCAACTCTATGTGCGTTTATCAATTCACCTGCTCTTGTGGAGCTAGGTATATCGGTCGTTCGACTCGAGTTTTGTCCAAGAGGGTGCAAGAACATTATCCTGCATGGCTACGAAAAGGTGGAAGTGGAGCAATAAGAAGCGCGATCATAGAACATCTGGTCGATAATGATCACCCTATCTCTATAGCCTCCGCCTTTAAAGTCATCTACAAGGCAAAGAGCAATCTACCCAAATCCCTACGTACCCGACTCATCTGTATTGCTGAAGCTTTGGCTATCGAAACAGAAAAGCCAGATCTCTGTGTACAGAAAAAGTTCGTTCAACCCCTCCAACTTTCATGGTCTTAATCCCTCTATGCTAAAATATGATAATCCCCAATCATATTTTAGCTCTACCAATTTTTCATTTTTCATTTTGTCTATTCAATTTGTATACTCTTCCTTATTAAGTCAATTGTTATTATTACTATTCTCACTTTGAACTGTCCCCGGTATTATTTCACTTGTTCCACTTGTCATTCTAAATCAATTCTTTTTTACAACGTTAAATTCTATGCTATCAAATTTCACACAATATTACGTAACGTTTTTGTTTTATTCGATTTGTCTACTAATCCTATAATTGCACATCCTTTTTCAAGTTCTATCCATCCTATGAATTATTCTATATATGACATTAATCTGCTTTGCCACTTGACATTTAACTACGATTATAATCACAAACATTTTAGTTTTAATTGAACTTCATATGATTATTATTATTATTTTATGCATTCACACCTAAGATTCAATTCCCTCACCGGATATAACTTCTTAAAAAGAACCATATATATACGACTGTACAGCTTGATGATAAATTCGTTGAAAAGAGTCTCTTCGCTGAATCACTTGTTTTGATTTTCTAAAAAATTAATTACCTTAAATTCATTCATTATTTCTTGTAGATTACTAGAACCAATAACTTGTCCATTGCATTTATATTTATCAGGCCTGCTTCCTATTGTAATTTTTTGTCCGTCAGAAGGTGATAACAAGCTGTGAACAAAGATTTATTAAAGGCATTTTAATTGGATCGAAGTCAGCTGAATAAGAACCAATATATCAGTCAACAAAATCTCTGTGCTAAATTTATTCAAACTGGAAATAGATAACATTGAGTATTTACATAAATAGAATTACTCCGAAATTCCTCACACAAGTCTGCTCCGAACTTCGTCACAGAAACATTTAAAATAAGAATATTAAAAGACTGTAAGCAAGGTCAAAATGACTTGCAGTCAATCAGTCGCCCTGACCTATTACGGATGCTTGATTAAATACAAATATGAATATGTGATAGTCGGTGTTGTTAATTTTAAGCAAGCGGTTATATTTCTCCTTCATAGTAATATATCACATGATTAGGAAATTATTGTGATGATTAACTTGCTTCTAAATACAATTCTTTAAAAAGTGTATGCTCTATGATAGGAATCAAATCATGAAAAATGTACCTGTAATAAATATTTACGCACACTTATACGAAATGATAAACTTTAACTCGGTTCTAAAAATGACTGAAATTGTAGGTTAACATTAAATATCAGCAATTATTATAAAAATACTTTATATAAATCCTTACGTTGTGGATTAATCTTATACTAATGAGGCTTGATTATTTATGATTTCTTGAGATGGCAAAGGCGATCCTGTATAGGTGCCTTGCGTAACCTTGGATGTTAGTGTATTATTATTTCCTTGGGTTCCGATTGGAAAATATGACTTCAGCAGGACACTCCCATTTCACCATATTCTCTGCATTCTTTTTTAAGCTGGTCTCATGACTGCCAATAAACTTTCACCTCCTTCCTCATTGCTGTTTCCCTCATATCACCGTCAGATCCTCACCAAACTCATCGTCCCCTATTCAGGCTCCACTCGAGCGATGGCCCATTGGATGATGTCCCTGAGCGGTTCCCTCAGCATATGTCCTATCCATCTTCACTTTCTTCGACGTATCTGTGGGGTGTTAGGTTCTTGAGTAACTTGATCCCAGAACTTCTTGTCGCTTTTCCTTCCTGGGTGGCCGTCTAAACTTCACTATTGAGCAACAGAAGCTGTTGATAGAAGCCTATAGAAGACTGTTGGAAATCCTTTTTATTATGAACGCTAGTGTATATTAGTTAATTTTATTCTGTAAAATATTTATCTCACACTGAATTCTTTGAATTAAGGAGATGCAAGGTAATTTCTGGGCGGAAACATAAAAGTATTAAAGTGATTTGGTTCTAATAAAAGCAGCAACTAAGAAACTTCGTGTTGATTGGAAAGGCTTAAATGCATTATTTCACTTTATCTCAGATTTGTTTCTCTTTAGACGCCATTTAGTGTTAAATTTAGTTAATGTAGCTGCATTAAAATCATTCTGAAGTGGACAACAAACTTTAGTCACTCATTATATAAATGAGTGTAGGTTGGACAAAGGTTTATTTCTATAGCCTTACACAAGTGTATTCAGTGGTGCCTTGGTTTCTGATCTCATATCTATCAGTAAAACATAATAAAACAGAAGACTTGATGGATTGCATTTACTAGTGAGAGAAGCTCCTTACGTATGTCGATTGATACTGTCTCCATTTTGAAACCATCAAAAATCTAGTCAACCGTATTTTAGAATACCACCACAAAACTAAAGTCCCCATTTAATGTTGACACAAGAAAAGTTGATTGTATCAAACTTCAAATAACAAAAACAAACTTACCCACTATCCAAGTAGTCTAACAAAACCTATATATGACATCTGTATATATTTTCAAGTATTGGTTTAGTAGGGATTTTGTTTGATTGCATGGAGAATTTCATCATGAGCTGATATCAGTTAGAAAACCACTGGAAAATCTGGGAGTAGTGGACAACCTATCCCGCCGACTGGTAACCAGGATTCGTAAGGGCCTTTCGTGCGGCTATGTCACGAATTGGCAGAAGTTAGAATTCAAGGACCATTGGATCGGGTCCCAGTGGCTCAATTGTCTACAAGCTCGCCTTGTACCCACAAGGTCCTGGGTTCGAACCCCGGTGGATGCATACTGCTGAAGAGTCCCGAACTGGGAAGAAACAGCTGTTCAGTGGTTCTCTAACTGATGTCAGCTCATGATGAAATCCTCCATGCAATCTGTATTTATCAAATGTATGCACTTTCTCTGATTTTCATGCTAAACACTGACGCCAATACTCTTTAAGGGAACCAGATAGATATTTCACTGACCACACGTGCATGTAAAGCTAACAAAAGGTATTTTTATACTTATTATAGTTTAATTAACCAGATTTATGCAATAGTGCTTATTTACCACTTCAAAATGTTGCTTTATAGTAAACAATAGCATCCAATAATAATGTCCATTCGAATCTCTCTTCAAATATATTTTTGTTACCTGTTTTAGTGTTCTGAATTGCAGTCACTGAATACTTTATATTCCAAGTGTGAAGGTATGGGCTGAATGCGTAGAACAACACAGCAGTGGTGTTAATTAACTTTAAGACATTCATAAGCAAATAAATAGATTCCGTTATGTATTTTATCAAGTTAAATCACGGAGCTTCAAGTGACGAAATGCATTGTAAAACGCGTATGACATTGCCTCATGATTATCTAGTTATGACTTTGTTACAAGAAAGTAAGACTAGTTTAAAAAAAGTCAACGGTTTGATTGTTGTTTGGAATCATGCATTTTTAATGTGTTGCCTTGCAATAGTCAATAGCTGGGGACTTTAAGTCATACAGTCAAGGCTGTCCACTCCTAGTCATTCCAGGAATTCTGGATATATTCATTGATATTCGTATAACTATCCTCCTTTATTGCATTTCTCCGTTGGTTTATTTTAAAATCACTCTTGAATCAAATCATCCGTATGCAAAACGTAGAATTACTTTGCTATTCTATATGCAAAAATCGTAATAAGGCTCATACAATATTTATACATTTGACTCCAATTTAAAATATTTTAGAAGCTAGAATATGCAACTGGTTGAGACATGTTAATCCAAATGTAGAACTTCTTGGTTAACTAGGTATTAGTTATTATTGAAGAGACAATTATGATTTTATGCGAACATAAAGGACTTTTTATCGATAGAAAGATTTTGTTTGTCTGTTTCACATCATTCAGAGCACGAATCATATTCTCTGGTTGATCAGCTTGGCTACCATGTCTTAAAAAGCTAAAAGATGTATGTTTAGCCAATAGATGCCACTTATTATGTATGCACTATTAACAGATTCTTTAAACACTGTTTCTTTTCTACATTATACTTACCAGGTAAAAAAATTTACAAATTAAGGGTGAGAGAATGAAAAATTAAGGCAAAAATATATGGTCGAAAAGGTATGGCTTTGTATTGAATTAATTAGCTGATGCACTTAGGGGAAAAAGTTCATACAAAAAGGAGCTATCATATTAAACTATAACTTATTCCGGGACGTAAACTTTACTGACCGATTCTGGTGTGTAATAAAATCAACACTAGTCAACTATCAGTCCCTTCAAAAGTCCCAATTATGTTGTCTTTGTTTTATTATTATTTGATTCAACTTTATGGGAACAAAACACAGAATATTCTAAAAGGGCTTTGAAGAAGTATATTCGAAAATATGAACCGTATGTTTTGTTTACAACTAACATTTTAAGCGTTTGAAAAGATACCGTTAAGTTATTAAATGAATACAATGACAAAATAAATCAAGATTAGATCGCACAAAACACAATATGAAGCGTAAAATTACTCACCAGGAATGTATTTGCGCTCTTAATTCACTCACAAAATTGGTGATAAAATTTTCATATAGCGACTCTAGCTCATTTTTTTCTTGGTATGCAATATCATCTGCAGTGGATGTCCGGTAAAACCTTAGTTCATTCAAAGAAGATTGCAATTCCTCCTCAATCTTTGAGCGAAGAATATTTTCATACCTTAGTTCCTGTGCAAATATTTCGAAAACCACAGAGTTACCTCTTTGAGTGTATCTAACTGATCTTCAAGATTTTTAACAGCGTCATGACTGTCGCATGATGAAAGCTTACTCAAGTTGTTAAGGATGTCATGGGACCTAGACTGAATATCATTTACTTCTTCCTTTAGTTGCCCTATTTCTCTCTGAGAAAATAAGAATTAATCGCAATCTATTAACCTCATTTTTCAGTAAATGACTTTCAATTCTCAACAAGTGGTTAGACGTCTCAGAGTTAGAGTTTCTCATTTCAAGAATCTCCTGTTATCTTTAATGATGATAACCTATCCTACCGACAGGCAACAAGAAATCATAAAGGCCTTTCGTTCGGCTAATGGTAGTAGTCCATTTAATCGACACCACAGTCTGAAAGGTAGAAGGATAAGGTAAGATTATAGTGTATCTTTCACAGCAACAAAGTAAACCTGGTACTAAAATAAATAGATCAAACTGATGCATTGAGTTTTAAAATATATTCACTCGACTATGTTTGGATGTCAATCCACGATTCTCCTTTGTGCTGGTAACAGACACAGCTTCATAGTTCATGGTTCAGGTAAATCACTCAGACAACTCCAAGAATTTTTCCTTCAAATAACCTTAACATTTTACATTAAATACACTGCTCATCAGAATATTTTTCTAGTTAACTAAGGGTTTTTGATTTGTGCTTTGGTATCAGTAATTGCGGGTAAGATGGTGTACTGATTAAGTGGGTAATTAGGATCATTACGTTTAGTAAGGCTGGCATAGCATAACATGTCAGCAGCATAACCACCACCAACTTACAAAAGCATGAAAATATGGAATGACGACATAAATGCAATCTATTCTGTAGCCTCATCACAGGTTTCAGATGTAAATTTGGAATTTCATGTGGGAGCTGGATAGAGTCAGTTTAGGAAATTTACTCCCGGGGAACCTAAAGCTTCATCTCATAGTCTTCCTCTAGAGGGCGGAGAACACTTCTATCTGCCTAGTGAACAAACCAGGAGACCCGCGAACTACTTCTGAATGAACGCAGTTGCTGGAAAGTGCTTATCACACTTAAGACTTTAGAGGCCAGAAAGCCATACTGCTAACCTGAAAAATAAATTCCTGAAATTGGTTAGTCACGGGTAAAGGTGGAATTGCATCCAGCATAAGACGCAACTGTACAACCCAAGAAAATATTTCTGCACATCAATCTCAGAAATAAAACGTCCAATGAAGTGTCAAACCTGGTTATTAATACCAACACCATCGAAAGGAAGCAGGAAAAGAGCAGAGGCGTTTACAGACAACTCATCCAGGCTTTACACATTATTCATCACTACTGCTAGCATTCTGTATATCAATGAGTTACCTCTGCTCACCGACTCTCCTATGGTCCTATGCGCAGATGACTTATAAATTTGGAGAGAGCTGAAGGGCAACAGTGATACATTCACGTTGCAAGAGGACCTGACTGAATTGTCAGAATGGTCCGTTGAATGGATGCTCCCGACCAATGTGGCAAAATGTGCAACCATGCGCATTGGACAATCAAGCACAAGCTCCTACAAACCAGAGGGAATAACACTTCCATCAGTTCAGACTCACTTGGACTTAGGTGTCATAGTTAGCCACGAATTAAAAACTACAGCACACTGTCGCGCGATGGCTGCCCGTAGTTTCAGGTCCTTATGGGCGATTCGAAAGGCCTTTACTAGAATTACCAGAGATATCTTCACCTCCTTATACACATCTCTGGTGAGGTCAAGACTGGAAAACTGCATCCAGGCCGCCAGTCCTTGTCTGAAGGGGGATTCACACATTCTGGAAAGTGTCAGAGGAAGGCAACACGTATGGTTCACGGCATAGCTAACTTATTATACGAGGACAGACTAGACAGTTTAAATCTACTCTCACTGTCATACCGTAGGCACAGAGGAGATTTAAGCACAAAATTTAAAATCCTAAATAATGACTACGAGCCTAACACATTTTCTATTTTCCTTCCCACCAGGTCGGAACACCTTAGAATACATGGTAGGAGACTTCAAAAGACAGGGAGAAACTCTGTTGTTGTTGAGTACTGGTTCTAACACCGAGTCACAAACTCTTGGAACCGACTCCCAGAAGAAGTGGTGTCTGCAGCCTCAACTGATTCATTCAAGAAGGGTTTGGACAAGCAAAGAAATTTACTAGAAAAGTATAAACATAGGCCCTAAGCCTTCTATCCTCAACCAATAAATCTGAAATCTGAATCTTCTCTGGTTGCACAACAGGAAGACGAGGTAGTATCATTTTACGTTGACTGAAACATCATGTTTCAGCCCACAGGTGAACTAGAAAGAGAGAAATACAGGGACCAGATGACCCTAGATCAAGGATTTTCTAAGATTTGGAGACTTGCGTACCTGGCTCACTAACTATGGTCTTCAGGCTATCTCTCTCACATGAAATGTTACTGCTTGACTGCAAAGATTCCATAGCAACCCTTATCTACAAGGAAGGATCTGGATACTGTCTTTAAAGTACATTAATATTAGTCTTACCAGCAATCTGGTCAAGATACTGGAAAGGCTAATCAAGACATTTATCACAGAAAACAAACCTCAGTACAGTTTCCGAGGGAGCCTGTCGTGTTGAGCAAAACTTTTAATAGCATTGTAAAACTCTGTCAAGTGTATTAACAGCAAAAAAGCCACCGAAGTCGTTTTCAATGATTCAGGTAAGCCTTCCAATAAAGTGCTTCACACAAGACTGTCCACGAAATGAGTAGCTTTTTCAATCAAGTGTGGGAGAGAGAAAGGACCAGGACCAACTGAGAAGTTTCTTCATGGACAGTGTCACCTAGTGGACCACCAAAATGTGGCGTTCTAAACCCCGCTTTACTTGTTTTGCATATCAATTAGTTACTTTAGATCTCCTATAGTTCTCGATGCAGATAACCTAAATATTTGAAGAAATTCTAAGGATAATAGTATTAAGTGAAACATGTCCGCAGATTGCTGTAATAAGTGGTGTATGCACAATTAGAAGGGTATAAAACAAGCACATATACGTAATATAGAGGATTAAGGTAGGTTGTAATTCTTCTGTTCCACATAGAAACCTTAATCCTAAAATCTAATTTATAACTAAGCAGGCACATATAGTAATATACAGGTCAATAATAAGAGCAGGCAAAACAGCTGGTGAACTGCCACTGTGAAGGCAAGACAATGTGACAGTTGGAAACAAAATATGAACGAATAAATCTCCAAACTATTTACGGTTTACATAGTCAAAAATGCACCAATGAGTGGTAACATAGGAGCAAATATTTAAACAAAGTTCGTTACAAGACCATTATCAGATTTAGATTTATTGGTTGAGGATAGAAGGCTTAGGGCCTATGTTTATACTTTTCTAGTAAATTTCTTTGCTTGTCCAAACCCTTCTTGAATGAATCAGTTGAGGCTGCAGACACCACTTCTTCTGGGAGTCGGTTCCAAGAGTTTGTGACTCGGTGTTAGAACCAGTACTCAACAACAACAGAGTTTCTCCCTGTCTTTTGAAGTCTCCTACCATGTATTCTAAGGTGTTCCGACCTGGTGGGAAGGAAAATAGAAAATGTGTTAGGCTCGTAGTCATTATTTAGGATTTTAAATTTTGTGCTTAAATCTCCTCTGTGCCTACGGTATGACAGTGAGAGTAGATTTAAACTGTCTAGTCTGTCCTCGTATAATAAGTTAGCTATGCCGTGAACCATACGTGTTGCCTTCCTCTGACACTTTCCAGAATGTGTGAATCCCCCTTCAGACAAGGACTGGCGGCCTGGATGCAGTTTTCCAGTCTTGACCTCACCAGAGATGTGTATAAGGAGGTGAAGATATCTCTGGTAATTCTAGTAAAGGCCTTTCGAATCGCCCATAAGGACCTGAAACTACGGGCAGCCATCGGTCGTTCTTTCTTCAAAATCATTTTTTTATTCGCATGTAGGCATTTGTGTTGCCTGACAAACACTCCACTGTAGTACTTCGAACTTCAGTTGATAATTCTCAAATCGATAATTTCAATATGAATTAAAGGAATAAATATGCGAACGTGCACGCCTTCGAACACCATGTAGTGTTAATAACAAATCCTCTGGTTTCCCATTCTATTTCAACAAAAGATATCGCATGACTTTCTAGTTTAAAATGTGTGTCTGTGTTCTGTGAAGATTCTCACGGAGCTATTTAAATATTTTTCCTCCGATGATTCTATCTGATGGAGATGCAGATCCACTATTACTTTGTGATCAGCCATTCTCTTTGGTTGCCTATGAAGATTCTCTAGGATTTCAACTGTTTAAGCTACTTAAATGGACTTTAGCCCATTTCCAGTTGGTTTCGACTAGATATAACACTCACCGATGATGTTGAGTTAGCGGTCCCGCTAAACCTGAGCGCTACCCACACTGCCCTTTTGATTTCTCAGCCTGCCTCATACAACCCAGTGGCCAGGCCGTCCTTAACAACGGTTCAGTTAGCGAAGGGAGAACTTAACACCTGCGACTGCTGAAATACTTATTTATTGATGGTGATTTGCACAGATTGTGCGAGTAGATAATTGCACCAAAACGAAGCTGCCTAGCTCTTATCCAGCCAGTCTTTTTAAGTATAATACTGTATTACCACAACACAATCTGTCGTTTCCCTGTGGAGGCTGCTTCTCATATTAATGCGCATATTGGCAATGATGTGAGCTGCAGGTCATGGTTATTTTGGGGGTCTCATAATGGTCTGATATGATCATATCTAACTTTTTGAATACAAAATCTTGAACTGGGCTTCATCGGTGTTATGACCATTTCAAAAGTATTGCTAATCAAGGGCTCCGCCTCTGCTTCTCTTTGCATGATTACTTATGCGCTGATTTTTGCTGAGTGAGGCAATGAATGCCTGTGCGTTTGGGCAGGATTTTACACTTCATTTACCCTCCTGCCATTGTGCTAAAAGAGTGCACGCTCAACTAAAGTTGTTGTTAAGTGTGCAAAACTTGGGAACTGTGGTACTGCATAATTCCACTATAATTTATTTGTCAGATATATCACACAGTGAAACGGTATTATTTACCATGTGGCTTTTCGGAAACAATTTATTTTTCAGCAATATACCAATCATACCTCCATCACTTCGAAACTTCTCTTTTATAATTTTCTTCATTTCTCCCTATTCAGCGTGGGACTAGTAGAATTCGCCACATATCAGGTAAATGTGTTTAATTACTCTAGTTAGGCTCGTTTCGCCTTTATGTCT